AAATTGCATTTCTACACATTTCACAACCTTATGATATCCCAAAGTACTTAACTTTTAAAGTGTAGTCACTGTTGTAATATAGAACATATTGCACAAAAACTGGAACTTCTTTCAATTCACAGATAATTCAGAAGATTGAAATTGCTCCAGTTTCAAAGGCAAGCTAAGAGTGGTAGATGGATCATATTTAGACTGAATCACGAACAAACCGACAGGACTAAACTTTGTCAAAAACGTTTAGTAAAGCACAAATTGATGCCAACAGCAATTTCTAAGTGGTGAAATGACGCACTATTTCTTTGTGCATGTTGATGCAGGAATACTAAATATTAGGGTATATTCTTTTAAGATTCAGCTGAGGTTTATTTTGATAGAATACAACTTAGTTCACAAGATTGCTTCCTGGACTGAGAGGGTTTTCCTATCATGAGAGACTGAGAAAACTGGGTCTATACTCTCTGGAGTTTTGAAGAATAGGAGGTGATTGCATTGAAATATACAGGATTTGAAGGGCTTGACAAAATTGACACTGAAAGATTTTCCCACTTGCAGTGGAATCTAGAACATGGGACACAGCCTTAAAATAAGCTGAGACAAAGAATATCTTTCTGAGCTAAAGGGTTGAGAATCTTTGGAATTCTCTTCCACAGAAAGCTGTGACTGTTCCGTCGTTCAGTATATTTAAGACAGATAGATTTTTGTTCTCTCAGATAATCAAGAGAGATGGGGACTGGGTAGAAAGTGCAGTTGAGGTAGAATATCAGGCATGTCAGTACCGAATAGGAGAGCAGGCTTGAGGAGCCACATTTGACTCTATGTATCATGTTTTCATAAAGACACAGAGATCATTGGTTCAGATTTGCAGTGATTCCTGTTTTCCAAACCAGTGGTTAACCTACTGAACCACAAAGATTTCCTGAAGTTCAACTTATAATTGTTTTACTGGTAAAAATATAAACAGAAAATGGTGTGAAATATACATGTGCAACTTATCACCCACATTTTGCAGAGTACATAAAAACTGCAACAGAAAGCTCCACAGAACACATTTCATTGCAGCTGAAAACATACAATAATAAATCTTGTATTATTAATATACTTTCATATAGACCTATAGAATAAAGATCCAGTATCCCTTTGAAAAAGGACTGCACCAGTCTTTATATAAGATAAACTGAGAATTATGAAGTAATACACTTAATAAAAGCCTTAAGCAACCCATTTGCCTGCCTCTCCAAGCAAAATGTTATTACAGGTACCTTTTCAAGTCAGGTGTATTTGACTTCAAAATTAAAACAATCAAGAAAAGAAAACATGATCCAAGATTTTTTGAGATTTTTGTCCGAAGAGTTTTATAGTAGTGAAAGAGAAACAACTAATTGCATGAGATACAAAAATATGGCTAACATAATGCACAAGAGAAAGGGAGCAATATGATATTCAGGAAAGGAACAGTGATTAATTCATTACTGGGAAGAAGGAAAAGTAAACAATATATAAATTAGAGAAGGAATAAAGGAATGATTCAAAACTGGGAACAAGGCAATCCTTTTGATAAAAGCCCATCTCTGTACAATCATAAACAAACAGCTCCACTTCTGATCTTACGATGGAGGGAAGGACATTGATGAGCAGATGAAGATTGCTGGATGCTGCCCCTAATGAACTCCTGAAACATTATCTTAGGACTGAGATGATTGACCTATGACAACCACAATAATCTTCCCTTGCGTCAATTGCCAGTGACTTCGCTTTTACTAGGGATCTTTGATGTTGAACTCAGTCAATTTTTTTCCATATGTTCAACATGGACTGGTTGGACTGAAGGGTCTGTTTCCATGCTGTATGACTCTATGACTGAACAATGACCTTCCTTCTGGGGGGAGGGGTAGCACACAAACAGTCTGCCTCTCTCCCAGCACTGTCTGTAAACTACTGACCTGGGCTTTGGCTGAGAAGTAGCAAGAAACATTGATGTTACAGTATTGCCAAAGAAGGACAATCTGCAACAAGAAAGAATCTGACCAACTCTCCATTGACATTGACAAAGATAATCAACTTTGCTAGACAAAAGAAACTGGCCAATTCAAGTTAGAATTGGAGGTTACCATTCAGTGCGCATCATGGTCAGTGATGATAGATTCATTACCCAAAAGTTCAGGGAAATGATTTATTATGGGTTGATTTTCCACATCTTGGCTAAATGTAATTTTCATCAAATTTCATGGAGGGTTTCTCTCTATGAGGCCTATTGAGTTTCTATTTGGGATCATCCCAAACTCATCTGCCACACACCAAACAGCCCTTCTCCCAATTCTCCCACCCATTGTGGTCGGATTTACTCACTGCTGCTGGGATATCCCAGAATTACAGGAACCAGCACCGTCTTTTAGAAGGTTGTTGTGCTCTTGGTTAAGTGCTGGCAGTGTGGAGCTTCCCTGTACGATTCCTAATGTTTTCCCTGGAAATGAGGAAATTTGTGAAATGCACCTGGACGTCCTGGTAGGTCGGGATGAGGTCATAGGAAGGTTGCCCTCTTCCCACAGAATCAGCAGATGATGCCATGATATCAAACCATGAAAGACTGGTACATGGTTGCCAGCTGGATCAATGCACTCTCAACTCTTTGGGGAATGCGCAGCAATGCCGAAGGTCATGGACCTTCTCTATTCCACCGGGGTAAGTGCCACCATCTTGACTTTGCTACCTCATGCTCACTCTATTTCTGCTACTGCACACACCTCCCACCAAGGCTTATGCTGTACACTCTCACTATTGCCTGCAACATCATCCCTGCTCACTTTCACCCATCTGATTCACTCAGACCACTAAATGTGTATGTCCTCTGTCTCTCTTGCTCACTCCCTTGGGACACCTCACCACTTTTACCTCACCTGCACTAGTACCAACACTAATAGCCATGCAATTTACTTTCATCTCATTCAATCCCTCCCTTTGTCTAATTCCAGGAGAAAACAACCTACTGTAGGGCAAAAAAAGCCAAGACAAGTGTTGGGGGTGCCCAATATTTGGCTACTAATTCTCTGTGATCCTGATCATGACTACTCCGAGTGGCCGACTAACTGTCCCCACCTCCCTGGATGAAGCCCTTGACTGACTGCATGGAAACTCCCTGACAAGTGTCAGTTCCCCTGGATTTCACATGTGACTACTTCCCTTAGACCTTAAGACATGGCCATTTGGTTGATGCACATGTTGTGTGTCTGCAAAAGGCTGCTGATGCATGCTGTAATATCAAGATAGGATACTTCTGTACTTCCCACCACCTTGACTGATAACTGCTAACATCCATGATAAGCTGCCCAACTTTCTGTCAGTGTTGAACACTAAAGGCAAGATAGAAACACTGCGTACCTTTAAGCTCTGTCTGAGGAGCAAAGCGCAAAAAGAGAAGGCAAGGAAATCATAGAATCCCTACAGTCTGGAAACAGAATTCTGAGGAGAACACAAAGAACACAACTTCCACTATTTGGCAGAATTCTGACTTCTAGGTCACAAAGTTATGCCCTTTTCTTCTCCTCCCTCTGGTTGGCCCAGGGGAACTGTTAAACAGCTGTATTTTTTTTTAAGAATCCCTACAGTGTGGGAACAGGCCCTTTGGCCCAACCAGTCCACATCTCCCTCAGAGCATCCCACCCAGACCCATCACCCTATAGCCCACCTAATCGACACATCCCTGAACACTACTGGCAATTTAGCATGGCCAATCCACCTAACCTGCACATCTTTGGACTGTGGGAGGAAACCGAAGCACCCAGAGGAAACCCATGCAGACACAGGGAGAATGTGCAAACTCCACACCGACAGTCACCCAAGGGTGCTATCAAACCTGGGTACCTGGTGCTGTGAGGCAGCAGTGCTAACCACTGAGCCACGGTGCTGTAACCACTTAGGCAAATGTGAAGTGAGTGTGAGCTGAGACAGTGAGTGGGCAGTCCTGAGATACTCCCTGATCTAGTCCATGAGCTGGGTGCCTGATCCTGTGTACAGTATGTTCTTGCAGCAGCATTGCAATGAACTCCAAAGTGCAGCATTTAAGTCAAGAAAAAGGCCTCATTTGACATCTCATATGATTTTCCCAGGGAGGTATAGCCCTTGTCATTGAGGGCATGGGAAGTTTCCATTCTATGAAGCGCAGGAATAGAGAATTGGATGAATAATTAACACAGCCCTGTTTCCAGACAGCAGTAACATCATGGGTTTATTCCTTTTTCCTCTCCTTTCCAGAATATGCTGAGTCATGCTGATCTATGTGTTCTACAAGGATAGGCAATTATCTGGCTATTCAAACTTCTCTTCTTCATGTGAGCAAGTGGGTTTTGACAAGCTTTTTGACATTGGGTGGCATCACATGCAAATCTAATCTTGTCATCATTTGATGATCATGCATACATACTTCTTAATGGGAATCACTGAATAGTGATTAGGAACAGGAATGCTGATTGATTTAAATGAAGAACATTACTTCCTGCCAGTAGTCTAGTCAACAGCTCTTAAGTGAAAATCAAATCTGGTACCTTGTGACTTGTATGGCTGCAATGCTGTATTACAGTACACAACTAGGTTAACAGCCACTAATTTCAGCAGGAATCAACTATGGCTTAAGGATGAAATGGAGTAAATGTGATGAAGCAGGAATATTTTTCTGACTTCCTTGGACAAATTGTACATTTGAAGAAGACTGGGAGGAGACATTACTTAAAAAAATGCACATATAGACGCTTAGGGAAAGAAGAGGAGATGGGATTAGGACTAACTGAATGACTCTTTTTTTTTTAAGTTTTCAAATAACTTACACAGGCACAATGGGCTGTAAGGCTTCCACTAACCTTTAAAAGTCTAAACTGTATACCATCACTTTTAAATGTACAACATTTAACTTTATTTTTAAAATTTTATTTAGGCTGAGAAGAAAGGGATACTTTCTCTTTCAAAGTTACCCATGATGCAAGAGTTAGGATCAATTGGATGAGACTAACATGGCGTTACTGGTGATGGTGGCAGATAATGCTGTAGTTGAAACAACTCCACACTTGGAACATTTGAGCACCAAACTGCTACGGGCTTCATTTGCCTGACTTGAAACAAATGCAAAGCAAAAATGAGGACAAATAAAGACTCCAAGTTTAAATGCAGCGAAAAACAAACAGTTGAGAAAAGCAGCACAGATGTAATTATCTTGCAATATTAGAATGCAAGAAATTGGGAGTACAATGATTAATTAATTAACAATTGAAGTGAAGACATTTTCTTTTGCGAGATGGAATATTTTGTAGCTTTTTCTTGAGTATATGTTGGTAAATTTAATAACTCCAATCCCTTGAACCTGTATTGCCTGAGCCCTAACTATGACCCACATTGCTTTCAATTGCAATTCTGTATTTCTCTTCTTTGTGTACTCAGTCTCACGGATGCAAGGTACACCCAACTATTGTTTTTATCCATCACTGTTAAGGGTTCACACTGAGTGAGATTCATTTTGAGAAGTTCCCTGCTTCAATTGATTGATAAGTCAACAGGCATGATACAGAAGTTCTTCTAAGTGTAGAACAGATAATTAATTGTCCAAAAATCATTTGGCATAGCACCAACCAATATTGTGGTAAGTTACACAGCAACTCTACTCTGTCCTACTATTGTAGACTTCTCCCTGCAGTCCCAAAGGGCATTGTCCCAAATTTACCCATAATGGACCCATATTCCCAAAATATTAAAATGCACTTGACCTTAGAAAGTGTGAAGGATCAGAGCGAAGCTGAAAATCATATCCTGTCATAATTCTGATGCAATAAGAGGAAACCTGGGGGACCTCAGTGACAGCACTGTGATCAACTGTGGATTACAGCACAAATGATTTTTCTATCATACCATCCATTTAGCCCTTTAATCAGTTGATAAGTGAAGACAAAATGGGGGACACTTGTCTCTCAGTCTGTGAGATGTCTTTACGAACTTTGCAGTCCTACTACAGGAATGGGGGAAGGATTATTTTCTGTTACATTCTTTCATAGATTGATGTTTGCTCTATCACCAGTTTGTGAAGGGTAATCAGATGAACAGTTATTCTAGTGTCAGAGTAGCTGCCCACATTGGCATAATATGGCGTAAGAGAATCAGTAAATGTTTATATATTCCTCAGTTCATGAGGAATTACAGAACCTGTAGAATACACAGAAAAATCAAAGGAATTGTAAGGGTAAATTTTTAAAAATGATTGTACTAAATATTGTTTACTCAAGTGAGGACAAGAAATCCCCATCCTAAAACAGCATATATACATAATTCAGAAGTAAAACAGCAAGTTTAGTAATTGCTAATTTCACTCATTCAATTAATGAGGGATGCGTAAAGTAGTTATAATTGAATTTTCATTCGCCTCATCAGTGAAATGACCCAGGCTCTCATTCTTCATCTCTGCATACCTGTTTATGTGAAATAATTTAGTTGAAGTAAAATAATGTTTCTTATTAAGTTGGATGTTCTTTTAAATTTGTATGACAAGAATATATGTGCGAATTTGGATACGCGCACCACCGCAGTATTTTCTGCTCATTGAAATTAACCATGCTGGAATCCCATGAATTAGCACATTCCAATTTCAGAAACACCCAAGAGTTACAGTGCATAGTGAAGATCACTTAGCACATCATGTCTGCACTGGCTCTCCAAATCAGCACCATGACCTAGTGCCAGTCTCCTGCCTTTTCCCCCATACCCTTGAATATTAATTCTATTTAAATAATCATCCAGTGCCCTCATGAATGCCTTAACTGAACCTGCCTCTATCACTCTTCCAGAGAGTGCATCCAAGACTCAAACCACTCGTTGGGTGAAACTGTTTTTCTCACATCATATTTGTTTCTTGTGCAAATCACTTTAAGTCTATTCTGTCACAATTTTGACACTTTTACAAACAGAATTTGTTTCTCTTGATCTTTTATATCCAGGCCCATCATGATTTTGAAAACTTCTACAGATCTCCTCTTAAACATCTTCTCTCCAACGAGAACAGTCCCAATCTATCTTCATAACTGAAGATTCTCATCTCTAGAATCCCCATTCTTGTAAATCTCTTTTTTACTCTCTCCAATATGTTCACATTCAGGGGAGACCAGAATTGTACATAATACTCTGAGGTCCAACAAGTGTCTTCTACAAGTTCAGTAACACTTCCTTGCTCTTGCACTGTAATATATACCCCTGTTAATAATACCCATGAGACTGCATACTTCATTAAATTGCTCTCTCTGCTTGCCTTATCACGTGCAATGATCTGTGCACATATACACCTGGGTCCCTCTGCCCTTGCACCCCGGCTTTATAACTGTACCTTTTACTTTATATTGGCTGTCATGTTCTTCTGTACAAAATGCATCACCTCAGACCTCACTGCACTGACCTTCTTCTGCCATCAACCATCCACATTCCACCAATTTTTGAAATTCTCAAGACTTCGGCCAGTCTCAGCTGAGCTTTTTGATGTATTACAGCTGCCTCTCTATTTAATACAGAGGGCTCCAACCTAGCAGGTCACTCTGAAATGCATCACATTCCTTCTTTTCTAATCCCCACTGATGTGCCACATTTCCCATGGGCTGTACATCTTTTATCTGCAATATTCCTTTTCAACTAAATTCTGTTGATATTTGAAAGAGATACATGGCAATCACTTACACTTTGTTTGTGACTGTTATTTCATATGTACTACCATACTATTAGTCACAGAATTATCTTGGTAATCATTCTACTTTAACTGGATTTACTGGGCTCCCTGATGTTTCAACTCTTAATTCAGTATTTAGGCTAAGTTGGCCTTAGTAATTAGAATGATCCCTAGTTTGATCCCTGCAGGGATTTGAGTTATAGCCCTACATTAGGCTTCAGTGATCTCTAGGACTGTAAAGATAAATCATCAGTCAAGGCTGTTGTTTCTCAAAACCATTCAGTTAGTTTTAATGGAGGTGCATGTTTATGACAAGAGTGCGATTTAAAAACATTTAGTATCTCTGTTTAGACAGAACAATGTTCACTTGAGTGATCCATGAGAATGTGTCTAGAACTCAGCCCACCATATCTCAGTGGCAAAAGCATCATCATGATATAATTGGTGAAGATCAGGTGCACACATTCAAAAAAACAAGAGGGTAACTTCTGTCTATAATTGTGCTTTTTATATGGCAGAGAGGTTAGTTTATTTTGATACTTCAGACTATATTCAGAAATCACAACTTGTCTAAGATGTTAATAGTCATTAGCTTTATGGGTATTACTTTATCAGGACAATCAGTAACTACATATTTCTCATCAATAGTTCATCCAATAAAAAGCCTGAGCAGCATCCTATGGCACAGCTTAATGTTCAACTTTTAATTAGAAATCCATAATTTATTCTTTAAAAAAGTCACAGAAGATCCTACCCACAATTACATGGTTATTTATACATTCAATCATCTGACAAGGGGACAGTCAATTATTTAATAGAGCTCTCTGTTTGAAAAATGCAATTGTTTTTGCTGTAAGAGCAAGTCTGAATTGTGAATATTGCAATGCAAGGTACACTTTGTATTCAATTAATCACTGCAACTGTTAATAATAATTGAACTAAATACTGGCTGCCAAAAACAAAGAACATCTATAAGACCCTTGCACCTAAATTATCTACATCCCTGATATCCATTCTAAATTTGTTTTCCTTGATTCACTTGGAAAGTAAAGTGAAAGGATTTTTAAATTCATTTTACACTTGATTTTTTTCCTAAGCTCAAACAAATATGATTCTAATCTATATTATGATATTAGCGTTGTTATCAAGTAGTTTGTAGTGACAGTGACCAAATTTAATAGCATTCTGAAGAAGATTCTTAACAGGCTCAGACATTAACTCTGTTTCTCTCTCTCCACAGATGCTGCCATACCTGTTGTATTTCTTCAACATTCTCTGTGTTTGTTTTGTATTTCCAGCATCTACAGATTTTTGTTTTTATTAATATGATTCTGATGACAGAGACGTTCTAATTCAGCATGTAGTCTCAGTAGCTTTTACAATATCTCAGACCAAGGAGTTCCTACTCTTTTAGATTAGAATACAGTGACTTTGGAGCACTGGAGACCCATAATGGATTAGATCCTAGTTTTCACATGCCATAACATGGTCAAAGCTCACTTATTAGAGAGTCAGTGGCATAGTGGTAATGCCACTGGACCAGTAATCTAGAGGCCCAAACTAATACTGTGAGGGTATTGGTTCAAATTTACCACAGCAGCTAGTGAAATTTGAATTCATTTAATACAATGTAGAATTGAGTAGTTAGTCTATAATTATCAATATCATGTCGTTAGCAGCAATTATTGTAAAAACCCATCTGATTCACCGATGTTCTTTAGGAATTGAAGTCTTCCATCATTAGCCAGTCTGGTCTACATGTGACTCGAGATACATAACAGTGTGGTTGACTTTTAACTGCCCTCTGGAATGAACTAAAAAGTGGCTCAATTCAAGAACAATTGTGGATGGGCAACACACATTGGCATAGACCATCTAACGCACATCCTATGAAAGAATAATTCTTTTTAAAAATGGAAGCCCAAGGATAAAATATTGGCAACGTAAGATCCTACTTGAAAAGCAGTCGATATATATTAGACAACAGATTAGTGATTCGATGCTAACAGTGTGGCAAAATGACTAAAGCATTAAGATGAAGTTTCCCCTGTAACCCTTGCACCCCCTGCTCACTCCCAAACATCCTGTTTGGCTGACATGCCTTGCAGCCATTTAAAGGCAGTGAAGGGAGGGCAGTGGGCGCCAGGGTAGACAGGGCAAGGTGGAAGGGAAATGCAAGCATACTTGGAATAAGGCCTCGAATGGACAGTGGAGTTTTGACAAAAAGGTACCAAACCCCGTCCAGTCTTCAGGGAGCCATCGGCCTTCCTGCTGCAGGTAATATTCCAGATGCAGTGGACGAAAACTCTTAAGTGATCGTTAGTTGGGCATTTAAAGGCCTGAAGTGGACCACAAATGAATGGATCGACACGACCCCTACCAATGACATGATGTGCAAACTATGAACCTACCACT